GTCATTTATAAGAAATGTATTTATTTATGGCACTTTTGACCTTTGATATTTTCTAAGGTTTCTTGTTTCAAATAAGAACCCACAAAAAAAGAAGAAAAAAAAAACAATGCATGGAGTTTGTACTCCATTTACAACTCCAATGTACAGCGATGCTTGAACACTGAAATTTCGGCACACCGAAGGGGTCAGTATGGACACAGACATGCTGATTTACAAAAACGCAAAAGTTGATTCGTAAATTTGACTCAGGTCTGTGAAATTGTACTGGAAGGGAATGGCACAAATTGTAGAGGGAAGAGAGGGGGGTATGTGTTTCAGAGCTGTATATGAAGTTAATGAACTGGAATTTTTTTACCATCAGCGTAATACTGCTGGTTTATGGACTCGGTGGAGCTCTGAGTGTGTCCATACTGCTCTCCGTAGCATTCATCTTGTCCCATGTAGTGTTGTACAGATTCTGGAAAACAGGCAACACGACCCTTGATTACAATTTTTTGGACCAAAAAGCCACCGAAAAAGACCCTAAAACAGTGTTGGTAAAATCATATTATTCTTTTTGTACATATGTATTTTTAGTATAGTTGTAGAATTATTTTTATAAGATAGTAAAATAAGATTTTACATTTAAGTTCCGCCAATTGTTTGATATTTACCTCAGGCTACACTTTCTCTGATCCAACTCACTAATACCCTCATCCAAAGTGATCCTGTAAACAACAGTTGAAATTTTCTACAATAGCTGTAGTTTTTGAGGAGAATACAATAATTACAAAAATGCTGCTATGAGGAAAAAATGTTATAATGTGGTGGTGGTGTGCAGAAACTCCAGATTCTGTCACTTATTGGAAAACCAGCAAAATAAAGAAAGAATGTAGCAAAAAAAGACATGCATGCAGAGCAAAATTTCCTTATTAAACCATATGCCAGACCAAACCATACCACAAAAATATATATTCCAATCTGAACTACCAGCAACAATAGTAGAACATTGGTGTTATTAGAGGCCTAGCAATTCCCTGGTACCAGACAGGGAAAGGCTCAGTGCTGCAAGGGCTTAATTAAAACCACAATTCAAATATAATATCATACGAGGGTTTATGAGAATGACCAATATTTCCTTGTAATGTACAGTACATACCTTTTATCTATTTACTTCTAGTCCACAAACTTCATAAGAAATCATAGGATGACACAGGGCCAGAATAAGAAACATGCTGACACAGAAAATGAGGGACAGGAACCCAATGTGCGACAAGTGAGAGACCTCTATTTCAAAAAATAAAAACTGGGATCTAAAAATTTTTCTTAATCTCTTCCTCTGCTACTATACTGCTTCCGGAGAAAAGAAAAGTCCTGTTCATAGTTTTTACTCCATTTTGAGGAAATTCCTTAGATGATTTTTAGCATTTGTAATATCATACAGTCATTACGATCCAAAACTGGAGCAGCTGAATGTTTGCTGGACGTTATACTCTGACGGTATTTCTCACACAAAGAAATTTATAGTAAATTGCAAAAGTATTCATACAACTTCAGACATGCTGCAGCTAAAAACCTGTTTGTGTTTCATGAGGATTATTTTGTAGAGGACCAAACACACTGACATCTGTGGCTGTGTAATTATAAAATGTGAAAGAAATCAAGTGGTACGAATTCTTCTGCAAAGCACTATAACAAAAAAAATATATCACAAATTACAATGGCAATGACCACTCTATTACCTTGCTGAGAGGAGCGGTAAGATCCCATGGTCCTCTGAGGCATCAGGCTATTCCCTTGGCTGGCCTGTCCCATCATGCCCATCGCCTGCTGTCCCTGATACTGTCCTGCTGAATGGGCTGAGGAGTGGTGTGGAGGAGCAGATTGTTGGTGCATCATGGAGACTGGGAAGAAGGTGAAGCAGTAATCTCGAACATTAAAGTTGGTTCACAATTTTCCATTCATAAGGCAGTATTTAATGATTGCACACTGGTAGAAATGCAAGGTTAAACTAATCTAAGGGAACTTTAAGTGCATGCCAAACACAGAAAAAAGGCAAAAGGCAGAATCTCTTTGAAACGAATCCTTTGTGCAGGGGTATAAATGAAAATAAAGCCAGGGCATTAGCACGTAAACTGAAATCCAGTAACACACCTTCAGAGAAAGATAGGCTTTATCTTAGCACAGGTGGTCAGAGATATGAAAGGCATAAACCTTTCAGATAAAAAAAAAATCAGGAGGCAGAACACATCTGTGATGAACTGAATGTGAAAGGAGCATAGGCTCTCAGAGCAGTTATGTATTTGCCATATGGTAAAAAGAACAAAAAATTCCAAAGGAAAAAAATTGCATTTTTTATTAAAAACAACAAAGTAGAAATAATGTTTTCAGGGAAAAATGTCTGTTTCTTTTAAGAAACATATTTTAAATTATGGATCAATGACTGAGCTTCATTATTCCTGGCTCACCTTGGCTCGACTGCATGTTGAGGTTGCTGCGAGGGGAGGAGGAAGATGAGGGCGCGGAGGAGGAAGAAGAAGAGGAACCATAACCTGCCCTTGGGCCCTGGACAAGGCTACCCTGAGAGGAGGGCGTAGCATGGCTGTAGCCAGATGCCAAGCTACTGTAGATACTGGTGGATGGAATAGCCGACTGCATGTAACCTGATTGCATGGGGACATGGCTTGGGCCTAATGACACACACACAATCAAAGGAGGCCACTGCACATTCTCATGTGATGTCATGGCATAGCAATCACAGATTACTACAGATATGCATTACTGTGGTAATCAGCGTACCACATTCAGTTCATCCTAAAGGAAAGTTCAGGCTGGGTGTAAAATAATATGAATAGCTGACTATGAGAATAAGATTAAGAGACTGAAAAGAAAAGCTGAAATCACTATAACTGCAAAAAAAAAATAAAAAAATAAAAAATAACCATGTATAAGTTAAATATAAACCTAAAGATATCAGCAAGCAATCAGGTAGGCATTAAGGCAGACATTAAGTGGCTACATGCACCACAGTCAGCATTAGATAAGCACACAACAGCTAAAGAGATTAAACACAAAACAGTATGTGTGTTTGCAACATCTGTAGCTGAACATGCCAATATAAAATCCACACATCACCAACCATTGCTCATTTGACTCTGCATCATGGATGTGGGGGTCACTCCTGATCCAGTGCTGTCATTGAGGTTGCTTGGAGCATGTCCCCCACTGTGGCTCATTCTTCCAGGATCCATGGACATGTTGGAACTAGGAGGCTGAAATGAACAGAATTACAACATCACTTCATTCCACTAGCTGTTATTTTTTTGTCATGCCTGTTTTGACTCATGGATTGGTGCACTAACTGATCAGCTCTGTTGCATGCTCCGAGAAACCACATGACAGGCAGACTTACAGCCGGTAGAAGTGACTGCATGTTCTGATTAGAATCAGCTATTGTAGCCAAGTAAACAAGATTTCTGTGCAGGATCTGCTGATACCTGGAAAGGTGGACATTTTTGCAGAAATTTACACGACCTTTGTAGGACTGTAGACTATTTACAACAACAACAGCAAAAGTCACTCACTGTGTGCACTCAGCTGTCTTGCCTTTACTTTGGTAGTCCATAATGCATTGTATTAGATGATGATTTTCATCCAGCATCTGAGGGAAAGAAAGCAACCTCAATCTATATCTGGCATTTAAAGTGCTTGGAAAATTGAACGCAAAATTGCTTTCCATCTCTCTTGGACAAACCCATTGAAGGAGCTACTGCTGCCATTATCCACTGTATTGTAGATAGTTCTGACAGTGCTTCTCTACGCTAACCTATCCTGTGAATATATATATATTACAGGTTGTTACAGGAAGGATGAATAGCAACAGAAATTAAGTTTATTGATTTTGATGTATCTTTAATAATTTGCCAACTTCTCACTGAACGTAATCATTAATAGCAATGTCAACTAGGAAATTTCTATCAAACCCTAGAAATGTTTTCCTTTTTTTTTTTATGGCTGAAGCTGAATATTTACACTGGTCAGACAGCTTCAGTGAGAAAGATAGCATCAGGGAAGCAGGTATGCAGTCAGAGCAGAGCGCTCAGACCGACCCTTATTGTGATGGCTTTGTTTTGTTCGCACCTTCGCTACTAGTTGCCCTTTCTTTGATATTCACCTCAGGCTACATACTTTCCCTGAGATCACACCCTCGTCCACAGCGACATTTAAAATGACGTGACGCTCCGAGTTTATCTTATTTTTGGTTTTGTTTTTATTTTTATAAACATATATGTATATATGTTTACCTTTTGGATGGACTGCTGTGTCACCTCCCCTTTACTCCTGGGGCGCGTCGATGAAAACGCCACAGACATGTTGGCATATGGGACATAAAAGCGCTCCTTTTATTCTAATATTTATTATCTAAAGCGCAGCCTTCTATTTGGCTACATAGTTTCTGTACAACGAGAAAAAAAAAGTAGGGGTGGGAGTGCAAAACTATGATTGTTGTGTTAATAGGAGAAACAATGGAGAGCTCACCGTGTATCTGGACAGCAACAAACATGTGGCTTTGCGCAAAGCGTGATTTATGGTCTGAATTTAAACAATAGCATGATGAAGAAAATGTTTATGTGCGGACGGACATCCCTCTGCCTCCTCCGTTGGTACAGCCCAGGCTTTGGATAGGCTGCCGCTCGATGGGGTCTCCTTGAATAGATGACAGGCAAAGAAAGCAGTCTGCAGAGGGTTCCGTGCGCGGTTCAAGGCACAGACAATCGAGAAGCAATTACTAAAGTTCCTTACAGCGCCTTATGTGTGAAATAAGTTCTGATAATGTAATTTGTTTCGAATGACGTTTGCTTTTAAAACAAATATTATGTTGCCAATGGGGATTTGACGGAAACATCAAGAGTGCGTCGCAACACATTCAAAAACCAGGAGGTTTAATTAACTCAATTCAAAAAGTCATTCAACAAGAGGAACTGAACCAAGTGACTGTTGAGGAAAGTCTGGGTCTCTGCCCTCACCACCCAATTGGAGTATATTAACACTTGAGGGAATTTCTCGTTTCAAATTCCAAGACATATCCAGGCCTAAATTCAAACAAATTAAAATTGAGGACAGAAAAAAAAAAAATCAGTTTCTCAAGTTTCAGTGTTTCAATTTCAGAAAGAAAAGCAAGATTTTGAATACAGATTTAACTTCATGTTTATATTTACAGTATTTAACAATTATACAAGTGCTTAAATTAAGACTTCAAAAAAAAATCAGTTAAACACTTCAAATGTTGAATGTCTCAATCAGAACAAAATTACATTAACCATATAAACAAAATGTATTTTAGTACATAGTCAAAAAATATTTGTATATATTTCTTGGCAGTTAAATTCAACACAATGGGAAATGGACAAAAAAAAAAAAATCCAGATCAAGTTTTCTGTGGTATTTACACCCGCCCTCTCTGAAACCTGTCCAAAGATAGAATCTGAGCAGCTCCTCGTCCTCTGCGTCCAGTAAATCTACCTCTGAAGCCTTGACCTCTTACGAACCGGCCAGTGACTCCAAAAGTCTCCAAATTGCGCTTCCGCTCTTCAGCCCACGTTAATCTGAAACTTAAGAAAATAAATAAAAATGGTGAAAACCCTAAGTTTATATTTAAAGAGGGAAAAACGTTAGTTTTTAAGAGAAGGGATTACCCAAGTCCATTATCAGAGGAGACATTGTCAAAAAAAGACTTTGCTTTGTCATAGTAACATTCTGGGCCAATGTCCTCATACTCAAGCAATGTGTGCATCCTTGCTTTTGCCTTCTTCATGCCTTCATCTGCATTAAAAAAAGTAACAATTTACCATTTTAGACAAAGCCCTCAGGAAGACTTATGAAAACTAATCTGGTTTTAACAGTTTTTTATCAGAAAGAAATTTACTTTTGAAATATTACTTGACAGCACTTCAGTTCATGTGCTACTGCAACAGCCAAGACATTTCAGATGAACACACACCTTTTAGGTTCCTTTTTTCCTGCACCTCCCTCTCAAGCTCATCTTTGATAAACTGTGCATTGGATGAAGCAAAGTCAAAGTCTGTATCAAATTTGAGAATAGGCGATGGAATGTTAGCCACCATTAGCCGTCCTCTACCACTGCTCTGATGTCGAGGTGCTGAGGAGATTTAAAATAAAATAAAAATGTTAGAGCTCCGATAAATAAGAATTTCACTTTCAAATCTTGATTTTGCTACCTTGCCTTCTTCTGGCCAGTGGATGGTCAGTATTCTGCTGCTGTGTGTCTGGTTGATTAGAAGTCACACCAGAGCCTGAACTCCCTTTAACACAAAAAATAAATATATATACCCACACATCTCCGTTTGTCTAAACTGCACAACTGAGTTTCAATGTAGAGATTCAGACTAATGGTTTTAGCTCAAGCATCACAGGAGGCTTACTGGTAGCAGGGTCCCTTTGGGGCTGGGAGTTCACTCTCCTGGTCCTTGGGGGCCTCCTCCTATTCCACTGCCTTTTCTGGGAAGCAGTCAAACCTCTTCTCTGTTTTTCTACTTGGATGGTTTGAACAGCCTTCTCTACCATGGGGCCCCGTCTGAAATGCAGGTCTGAAATGAAAGGCCCTGGATTATAGGAGCCAAAGAAATTCTCTAAACTATTTTAAACACCTCCAGGGTGACTTTTATGGTCCTTTTACTTCATATAAATTTGTGCGAGAATACTTGCCCAGTCCAAGAGCAGCAGCATACTGCTGGCTAAGAAGGGAGCTGGTGGCAAGGTGATTATAAGCAGGCTTTCTTATGGGGCTAAACAGTCCAAGACTTGAATATATGCCTGAGCTTGAGCTGAATGACTGAAAAATGCATAAAAACAAATATTCAACAATATTCACACAGGAGCTTGAGTGATGCACCTCTTTCCTACTTTACTTGTATGATTGCTGGATCTGGGGGAAGGCCATCGGACCTTGGAGATTCACACAGTGCGATATCCTTGATGTCACTACCACGGAAAGTTATGTACTCGTAAACATCGTCTTTGGGGGGTGTTGGTCTTTCAGTAGGACGCCCCTCAGTTCCAAAACACTTCACTGTGCATAAGGGAAATGTTATTTTCCCAATCTTAACAAATCCTCAAAGTAATCTTAAATACATCTCTTGTCACATAATCAATTAGACTCACCTTTTGACAGCACAACTGTGGAATGATTTTTGTCAATTGTGTACAAAATCCCCTCATAACGATTCTGGGCCTTTGAAAGCAACCTTATCCTACAGCCAATGTATGGATTTGAAGAAGCCATGGCTGAATAATGATAGAACAAATGCTCTGAATTGTTTCACTGCCTTACAAGACATTGACTGTTCAGGCTTTTGCTGAAACAATTTATAAGCATTTGCAGGTGCGCTGGAACCACGCCCACCAATTGAAGTTTAACTCACCTAATTGTTCAAGTCAATCACTTTACAACTGGAGTAGTGAAGTGATTCTTTTACAGGGATCACTTCCTGTATTGCTTTACAGGAATACACCAAGTGCAGGGTCATCTTCTACAGGAAGGATGACCTGGATAGAAGTGATCATAATGTGGAGTGGGAGGAGTATTTTTTCATAATGGATGGCCAAGCTTTTCAACAATGATAGATAAATTCAAAGCATTTAATCTATATTCACAATGTTCAAATCCGATTTGTGTGTGTGTGTGTGTGTGTGTGTGTGTGTGTGTGTGTGTGTGTGTGTGTGTGTGTGTGTGTGTGTGTGTGTGTGTGTGTGTGTGTGTGTGTGTGTGTGTGTAGGGGGATGGGGGGTATAAAAATATACAGTATAAATCGGAGTAAGTAACACTTGTGGTGTGTTTGAAGAAATAAAAGTAGAATATCACATCAAAAAAATAAAAGAAGCAGAAATCAGACTTGCATTCTTAACAAAAAAGCACATACGCAGCCAGTTTGAGACGTGGTCAGAAACATTTATTCAAATTACTTCAACACTTTTCTTAAATCCGCGGTGATGGAAAAGTTGATTTCCTTTTCTGAGAAAGCAAACCCGAGGGCGGCGTATTACTCCTCTCCCTTTCCCTAGTAAAACTGACAGCTTCATCTTCCTTCCAGAGTTTATTTTCTTTGTCGAACCAATCACAACGCCTTCCGAGGTAACGTCATGGGAGGCGGTATCTAGTCCGCGCATGCGTCTTAAGAACTGGCGATGGTAGGCAAAGATGGCGGCGGGGTTCGATCTGTTGGCTGATGTTTTCTCCAACAGAGCGGTGGACAAAAAAGTAGTAAGTGAGGTAGTGAGAGCCTTTAATACCCTGTTAAGAAGAGCATTTTGCGCTGACTTGACGTCTGGGATTCAACTTGCAACAAATCATTTTGGTGGTTTAACTGTAGTCGGTAGTTTCAATGTTGAGGGTACTAAATTGGATTTTGACTATATAAATCAGGAAAGATATCTGTACTCCCTGATATGCCGACAATAGCTAATTTTGGTCAGGTTGCTTAACTTAACTGTGGCCAACTTCATTTGACTCATCACTTTCCTTATCACTTTCCTGAAACTAATGCGAATTGGACAGTTGGTCGACACTTCCCTTGTTGCCATATGTTTCCGCCGCGGTAACGGTAGGAGTTGCTGAAGGTGTCAGTAATTGTTCGGGGGTCCCACGGTCAGAGCATGGACGGGACAGCTGGGATCACATCGGTGGCTGAACCAATCACGACTGCCGCGCAGAGCCCTTTCGGTTCGCTGACAACAAGCGGAGCAGTTACAGGAGCATCAGGTGCAACAGCTGGAGCTGACAAACAACAAGCGACTGGTGCTCCAGCTTTGGATGGAAAAAGCGCGGTGATGAACTGTCACATCCCCGGAAGCGGGGAGTCAGACAGCGCTCAGACAGCTGTTGTGAATGCACCCGCTTCTGCCTCTTCTGGTTTTATTATTCGAACTTCTCTGAGTGCACAAAATACATCGACCTCATCTGGGAGTTCGCCTCAGCTTGCTGAGAAAACTGTTCCCACAGTGGCGCTTGTAAGGCCACCTATGCAAACTTCTGCTAGCGAGTCTCAAAGTACAGACAGCCCAAATACAGTCTTGTCATCAGGGAGCGGTAGTGTTTCCTGCAAAACTGAACCCACTAAAAGTATAACTCAGCCCGGTACTCAGGTTCTGCCTTCGGGTGTTTTGACTGCGACCATGAGGAATCCGACTGTTCTGCAAAACTTGAGGACTACGTTGTCGTCACCGATCAGTGCCGCTCCGCCAGGAGGAATACGGACCATTGCTCCACAGGTGTTGGCTCCTCGACTCACTCAGCCTCAACAAAACGCTACAAGTATCCAAAACATACAAATCCCTGCAGGTAACGATGTTTAAGAGCTTTCTGTTCACTGTTCAACAAATGGGATTTAATTCCCTGCATAGCTGAGGAAAATCTTGACATTTTGTATTAAGCGAAGGTGAAACTGTTATTGATCAAAGTTCATTATTGGTGTGGTCCGTCAAAGCAGCACTTAACTACATTGTTAATTCTCATATATTTGCTTGTCTGCTATAGTTACATTATGTTCCGTTAATAATAGCTATTTACTGAAGATGTCATAAGTATCCTATTTTTTTACTGGTACTTTTAGTTTCCTTTTCAAGTAACCTCTAAGATATTGTGTGTCCCCTCATCTGACTTTATTGTTAAAGTCCTTACTCATTCTGAAAATAACTAACTTGAGTCTTCTTACACACGAGCCCCTTTCATATTCAACTCATTGTGTATTTATTGCCAAAGTGAAAATCTTCAGAATTCACTCGCTGTCTTAATTTCTCAGTTCATCTCTCATCATTGTTTTGTCTGTTATGTGTTTTATTTATTTATTTCCCCTCAGGTCAGTTCATTGATAAATTAATGTGCTTATGTATTCGAAGGCACTATTGATGGGTCATTTATGTTGATTATTATCTTCTGTCCTGGCTGTGACTTCTTTTTTTTTCTTTTGTTTTTAATATTTGAACCTTTCAGGCATGGTGTTGGTTCGTAGTGAGAGTGGGCAGCTGCTGATGATTCACCAGCAGACTTTGGCTCAGATGCAGGCTCAGGCACAGTCACAAAGCGCAACAACACCACGACCTGCAGCCCCCACCAGCACTCCACCTGTCCAAGTCACGTCTCTTCAGGTATTTGTGTGCCAGAAACATAAACACAAGCACTCAGGGAACATGTGACTTGCATGTGTGTTGCAGTAAAACACACAAAAAATTTACATTTCTGGATATCTCACAATAAAGACAATGGCCTATTTCACTTTAGGAGGAATCACATTTGACAAAAATTAAGAAAACTTATATGCTTAAGTTTTATTATTATTATTTTAATGGAGAAATACAGGAGTCTTTTTGAAGATTTCCCCAAACTTTAAAACAGAGTTTGTGTAAAATAGATTTTTTTTTAAGAATAGATATTAATTTAATTGATTTTCAACCTGAGAAACAACTCTTATTTGGATAAATAAGTTTGTGTTTGCATGTAGACTATAATGGAAGAAAAAAAATGTCATTTGACAATAAATTTGTCAAATGATAGCAATACAAAGAATTTTCTTCCACTATTCTGGAAAAGTTTCAATGATATAAATGGATCATTTTCATATTTAAATGTAAAATACGTTGCACTGATTTTGTAACGTCCACAAAGAAGTTAAGCTGAAAGTATGCAACCTATCGAATTTTGATTGTATTTTTCAAAATATTGGTTTTGTTGTTTTGCAATTGATTCTGGGTACATACCAAAAAGATTAATGCAATTAATCTTTTTTTGCATTAAAAAAAGATCGGCTACTAAAACATTACTGGAATGTTTTAGTAGCAGATCGTAACATAGAAATAGAATATTCTATAACACCCACAGCACTGTCTGAACACCAGTGTTGAGACTAAAACCTGTCACTGTGATTGTCAGACTTTTAAGTAATCAGACTGTTTCTTCTACATGGACTTAGAAACAACTGTTATTGATCACAGTTCATTGGTGAACCTTCAGAAGATACAGGAAAAAGTACTTTAATCAGTCAATCAATTTTACCAATGTGACTTTTTTCAAGTTCTAGTGATGGAATGTAAGCAAGCTTAAAAAAAACATTGCAGGCACACTAAAACAAAAGCGATTTCACAAAAACCAATCTCTTTTCTAAGGTGTAATACATTCCAGATGGACTGCTCTGAAATGGAAGGTTATTCTAGTCTTAAGACAAAAAGGCTACCTTTTTTTTCAGAGAATGTGGACATTGTGTCTTGACTAAAGTGAACTGAGATCCAGCTTATCAGTTTTCAGTTATCAAGACAAAGCATATTTGATTGTGTGGAAAGAACAGAATATGTGAAGGCAACAGTTAGTTTATCATTTGATTGTAACCATTAATGTTTTTCAGTGTTCTTAATTTCTAAGTTTTCATAGTATTGTAACATTTTGTTACAATACTAAAAACATGTTTTATTCTGTCACATATTGTTTTATTTAAAATAAAAATGGGTTTTGAAATGGCATCCAAGCTTTTTATTTTGAAGTTGCATTGCAAGCTGGATGCAACTGCACTTATCTCACGTAGAAATATAGTACACTATTCTTGTTTGAAAAACTTTAAAACACTCCAACAAAAATATTTTATAAAACAGATCAAATTAATCATTTTGTTACATTACTATTTGTAATCAATGGAAACATGTCTCTTTCTGTCTTTTGCAGACTCCAGGAGGTCCTCTGCTGGCTCGCTCTGTAACCCCGACGACCATCACCACAGTAGCAACCACAACCACTCCCCAGAGACCTCCTGTTGTGCAGGTACCTCAGTCAGTCTGCATTCTGAGAGATTTAATTGTAGTCGTTACAATTGATAAAAGGTGTCAAATTGACCTAGTTCTAATAATAAAAATAGTTTGTTAATGCATAGACATTTTGTTACAATACTAAAAAAAAAAATCTGATATTTTTAGGGGGTGCTGACAATAGACAATGTTTCACTGAGCCTGAGGATGTTGCATAAATGTGATCTTCTATGTGTGTGTTCTTTGTTCCAATAAGTCATGCAGACAACTCTGTAATTCCTCAAGAAGCATTAGCTTGTCTGGATGGCTAATAATATTGACTAAAAATAATGATCATCCCAGTCACTGAGGGTATTAGTTTTTTATTTTCTTTTACTTACCTCGCTAAACATAGATAAACCAAACCAGAGAAATGAAAGCTATATTGTAATCTACTTTTTTGTGTTTTGTTTATTCATCTACAAAAAACTGTTTTACAAGGATGTTTGAGTTGTTTACTTTTATTTGTCGAAGTGTCACAT